ATCCCTGAGAAACAGCTGCATCCAGGTGCTGTGAGCACTGCATGGAAACAGCTCAAAGCTCAAGGGGCTTTAGAGGACATAGGCGCATGTTCTTGTGCTACCATAATGATACACTGAGGGCATGTCTACACATCCATTAATGCGCTGTGGTTATGGTGCATTATGTTTAGTACTGTGCATTATGTTTAGGGCCTGTTATTACTAATGCACACTAGCTGACTAGCATACTACTGCGCAGTAGCACCGGCACACACCTTTTAAGTGATGTTGATGTGCAGTAGACTAATTGTACGGCGCATTAGCACAATAGCATGGCTTTTGCCGTGATGCGCTAATGTACCATAGAATTAGTCTACTGTGCATTTATCATGTCATGTAGACATGCCCTGAGACTACAGGGCAAGTGTATCATTGGGGAGCAGTGCACAATCCTTCCTCATCTGGTTCTAGTGCCCATAGGTGCTTGCTTTGCACACAGAGCCACAGCAGCTGTTCCTCATGCAACAATACAGTGCTTCTCACAGCAGCATCCACAGCTGCCTATGACTGCTATCTGCCCACTGTCAGTCACCCACTCACACCAGTCTTACAATCAAGGCAATGCTCTCAGAAGTATACTGATGAGGGGGGTCACAGCGTGTGTGCCATATACTCCTGATGGTCAGTCTCAGTGTGCTGCTTCTCCAGCTAAATAGACATCATGCAGAGGCAGAAGGATTTTAATGGATGCTAAAAACCAAGACATGTCAGTCATGCAACTTGAACAAAGAAAGTGATTAAAAGGCAAACTCCCCTCCCCTTTGAAGATCAGAGATGCCCACAATGCATCTGAGAACTCCAGACATTATACAAGTATAGTAATTGCTGCTGCTGCTGGTGATGAAAAGCAGACCATGCACCTTCCTGCAAGCAGTGTTAAACAGGCTTGAGTTACTAGAATTCAAGGTACCCACATCCAGAGCCTTTTCGTTAGCAAAGGATGTTGCAAAACAGCAGATTGTCCCTCTCTGCTCTTGCACAATGCCCAACTGATGCTATAGCTCCCCAGCGATGGAATCAGCAGGGCCCTAGAGATGGTTTTCTATTATGGTTTTGGCGCCATCTTGTGGCCACATGCATGTACTGAGATTGATTTTCCTCCAGTGCAAACCAGCTCTATGTTCGTGGAGGAAAACAGACTGCCTCCGTGACGACCTGTTGCCTAGCACCAAGCTCAATAATGCATGTCTGACTGCGCATGTCACCTGGCATGGCACCCAGTCTGCACTGGAAGAGTCAAAGAGGTGGAGATGCCCCCATTTTTTAAAAGTAGAAATTTACCAAGTAGAAACATCAAGGAAGATATATGTAATATATATAACCATGCTGATAAATCATTTAGAGCAGAAGCCACGATCTGCATGTCCCCCAGAGTCTGCCCATGCTCAGATCCGAGGCTTCCATTAGACCTACCTCTACTTACACCCCATTTGGAAAACCATTTTATTATTCAGTTTTATTAAAGTGTTAACTTGTGAGGCTGAAAGAGATGCCAGGTGCAGTAAAAACCCTCACGGCCCCTCGGCATACACGATGGGGAACCACAGGCTGAGGCTGCATGGGCCTCTGGCCCCTAGCACACAGGAGGGCAGGACTCTGCACCAGCCCTTCAAATTGCTGGTAATGCCTGCAGTGAGCAGGCCTGGAGCCTGTGCTTATACATCCCAAGGGAGGAGGCAAGATGCTGAGCAGCCTTCTTCTTGCCCTTCAGAGTTACCAGCTGTCCGTCAATTTATGGGCAACACACACAAAAAAAAAAAGAGCAAAAAACGCCTGTCTGTCAAGTCCATAAAAAAACCTGGAGCTGTCATAGCAATGAACTTGCAGGAGAGACTGAGCATGACGGCACCACCTGGTGTCTGAGCAGCACTGCACCTGCAGGGAGCTCTCGCCATGGTCTGGGGGGTCATAGGAGACTGTAGCTCAGGGGTGGGAAATTACTTCAGGTGGAGGGCTGCTTAATGAGTTTTGGTGAGCGATCCAGGGCTGCAAGGATAGCCCTGCCCCTTGACAGGTGCCCCACCCCCTGGTCAACATCATGGGACCGGAAATCCTGTCCCTAACCCCTGACCTTTACCACCAGAAATCCCTCCCTTTGCCCCGGGAAGTACTCCTTTTGGGAATCCTTTTGGGCATGGATGGGTTTGCCATCTGGGAACTGGAAAAAAACCCAACCATATACTAAAAATCAAATATCTACTATAATGTATTTTAATTTTGTTTCAAAAATATTTTTGTCTTGCTTTGTGTGTGTTTGCGTCATGCCTATAGAAGTGACTGCATAATAGCTCAAAAATTAAGTCTTCCTTTTGTATATTGTAAATGGGGGTGTGTGTGGTTGGGGGGGTGCATATATGGAGAGTGTGGGAGGTGTGGGGAAGGGATTAGGTGTGGGTGTGTGGTGGTTTGTGGGAGGGTTGGAGGGTGTGGGTATGCATGAGGTGTGTCGGTGTTTGCGTGGATATGGTGGGCTGTGGGGTGTGTGGGTCAGGGCCCCTACTCACCCCCTCCCCTGCCATGGTGCACAGTTCTTGCTGTCGGTAGCAGCAGCAGGCCCTCAGGGAACTCATGGCCCATGGCAGGTGGAGCCCCTCGACAGTGCATGGCACTGGATGAGTCCCAGGATCTGCACGTGGCAGCAGGGAGCGGGGCCAGGCTGCTGGCTCCATCACACGGGGCTCCCCATGGCTCACGTGCAGATCCCAGGACTCGGCTGATGCTGCACACCACCGGGAGGAGACCTGCGTGATAGAACCTTTGACCTGACCCTGCTCTCTGTTGCCATGTGTAGCTCCCAAGACTCGGCCAGGGCAGCAGGGAGTGAGGCCGAGCTGGCAAGGATCCATTGCATGGGGCTCCCGGCTGAGTCCTGGAACCTGCATGTGGCAATGGGAAGTGGAGCCAGGTCACTGGCTCCATTGCAAGTGGCTCTCAGCTGAGACCTGGGAGCTGTACGTGACCTGTGGGAGCCCTATGCTTCCACTGGCCCTGGCCCTGGGCTCTGTGCTCCCACCAGCTCTGGCCCCATGCTCCCACTCAGCTGCAGCTTCCCCCACACCTAACACTGCTTGCCTACCTGCTGCCCAGACTGCTGCAGCAGGGACACAAGGAGGAGCTGCTGGAGGCTGGGGCATCCAAGCAGCTCCCTGGGTGGCTGCAGAAGTGGCATCATCAGCCCTGTCCAGAAGCTGTGCACACTGACCAGGGCCAGGACCCTCCCATGGGTGAGGGTGGGAGCACAGCATGCTGCCCTGATGGGAATGGGTGGGGCTCAGCCCCATACAGAGCATGGCAGGGGCATCTATAGGCTGGCTGGATACAATTAATTGATGGGCACCTGTCTGCAGGCCAGAAGAAATCGCCTAGCGGACTGGATGCGGCCCACAGGCCGTATTTTGCTGGCCCCTGCATAGATGCCTACATGTGTTGCTGCTGTGTCCCTTTGGCTCTCTCTCCCTCTTAACAGTTGCTCATCTTGAAGGTACAGGGGTGGGATCTGGACAAAGCTGCAAGCCAGGAGAGGGAAAGGCAGCATGATTGGGGGGTCCATGCTGGGACAGGGGGAGCAGGACTGGTGGGATGCAGTCAGGGCTTCAAAGCGTAGATGTGAATAGGGAAGCACAGGGTAAAACCACTGATACAGGCTAACAGGGCTGCCAACTCAAGAACATTTTTTTCTTTTTAGAGACAACCATCCTTTTTTTTTAGTGTTTGGTGTTAAAACCCTCAATTTGAACTTTGCCCTTGTCAGTGTCATCCAGGGCCTGGCAGATGGGTTACATTTACATTATATAAAACATATGCCAATAAAAAGATGAACTGGCAGCAAAAAGCCTGCGTATTGTCAGTAAAAAAAAATTCTTGGGCTGGCAACCCTATTGCTTATGCTCTGGGGTGGTGGATTCCATCCCACTCTTATAACCTCTACGCAGCTGTAGCTACCTCATGCTTCAGCCGGTAGGAAGAGGTGCGTGGATTTCATCCTTATGGGAGAAATATCACCATGGTGTTTTTAAGTGTAGTGGTTCATTTGAATTGGACATCGAGCATTTTGACCATTCCCTGGAGACCGCGTTCCCATTCCTGAACTTCACAGATTCATCCAGTTTCACTACCTGAGCAGTAAACTCTACACATGGCTTCGCCTCCTGACTTTTTTCTGTACCAGGGCTCAGTGTCTAGCTAGGTCTTACTTGGCCACAGCAAGCCTGCTACCCAGGTCGAGGGAACAGAGAAGGACCAGATAGAACAGGAAAGCTTTTTTTTTTTTTGAGGTGGCTGGTGTTCACCCATTTGGATAGTCTGGAATGATGTATGAAACTCTTTCCTTTAAGACATGGCAATTCACTGCCCAATAAGCTTCTAGTAGTGATGCCAGGAGTACAGTGGACTTGAATGCACGTGGAACAACTCTGAGAGGAAGATGGAGTTTAGGTTTGTATCAGATGTGCATAATCCCAGGATACTCCCCCATTTCAGCATAGGGTAACCCAGGACAAGGCCACTCAGAAACCTGAACACACGGGTCCTGCCAATGATACTTGTAAAGATCTGAATGAACTCCAAAAAAGCCATGGAATTGGGCAGGTATAAAATGAGCATGAAAGGTTAAGCAGGCCCCCAGTTTAGGATCCCACAGCACAGTATACACAAGGCCCAATTCTACCATCCTATTTGTTTGAGCATCAGTACAATGCCATTGACTCCAGGGACAGTAAACCTGGAAGTGAGAGGAGTGGTCATGGCTTTAACATTTGCAATTGTTCATTTGCACAGAGTGAAGCTCACACCTGTGCAGGGCCCCACACCTGGCCTCGGTCCTATTTGCACACTGTTGTGAGGTTTAATTAGGACTGAGAGGATGCTTGTAGGCCTCTGCACATGGTGACTTTCCCTTGCTATTCTGGAGGCGCTGTGGTTACAAACAGCATGGGAGATGAATGGCATTAAGGGAAGATTACCCCTTCACTGGTTTTCTGCAAATCTGAAGAAGTGTTTCTTGTGTCGTTGCCTGCGTCTCCAGCATCAGAGCTGCTCTTATTTTCTTCCTCTTTGCAGTCCTTATCATCTTCATCTCCGGGAGATTTCCGTGACTGCTTGGAGGATTTCTAAAACAGACCAAGAGCAGAGTTAAACAACAAAAACCAAGCTTCAAAATTAAGAAAAATCCTTATTTATTTATTATAATTTTTTTACCATGGGTGGTTGCATATCTAGGTTCCCTCATCTACTAAGCACCTCCATCTGAGGCCATTCCTAAAGAGAGCCCAGGGGGTGATGAAAGACATATTTCAGTTGCAGCCCTGAGATTTACAGCAGCCAATGGAACAAGAGGAGAAATCTGTGGCTGACAAGGGATGCCCACATGGTCAATCAGCTGGTAGGTGCAGTAAGAGGGGATGAATATTAATACTGGGTCACCTGTTGGTTTTGGTAGGTAATAAAGCAGATGGCGCCAGCTTGACAAAAGTTGTGATTAAATACAGAGATGCAAAGCCAGAACAACATTAGCAGAGCTCCTTTCCCATACTCTTTTAGTGCTGCCAGCTTTGATATATTAGAATTAAAGTCATGTGGAACCAATACAACTTTCTTGGTCTCTTATGTTATGAAATTTTGCAGCACAAAGGGATAAACCGTAGCTTTAAGCCACTATTCTATTAATCCCCTGTTTGTTCAGAGTCTTTTAATAGAAAGGACAGTGAACGTATAATGTGAAATAAACAAGGGGAAAAGGTCTTTGTATGTGTTTTTGTAATCTATGAGTTCATGAGCAGGGCTCTTTGAATCAACAGATGGTTTAGTTTGGTGGCTGGACTGAGAAAACACCACATATTTGGACCAATTTTGCCATTTTTTCTTACCACAATGAAAAAATGAAAATAAAAAAAGCACTTTAGGTAGCACAAAATGTGCTGTTCCCTCCTCACAGATCGATCCTCCCCTTCTCCCTCATTCCAAGCATTTTTTATGTAACCAAAGCAATGGAAACAAAGGCCTAGGCTTAGACACCACTAGAGGAGGTGGTCCCAGTGCTTCCCTTCATACCCCACTGTGTATCCAACAGCCTTAGAGCTCTCATCCAGGGTATGAGGGAGTTTTTACGTGAGCTCTGGGAGTGGGGAGGGTGCTTTAATTTGAGCGGCTCCGAGTACCACTCTAATTAGAGTGCCCAGAGCCTCAAAATGTTGGCAGGGACACTTTATCTAAAGCTCGTAGAATGAGCTTTAGTTAAAGCACCCCCACTGCCATTTTGAAGCATGGGGATGCAGATACATGAGACATGGCGGTAGGCTGGAGTGCGGTAATTACCATGTTCCACCAGACTTGATTAAGCGAGTCTGCTCCAATGTGCTGTAACTGCAGCACGTTGGAGCAGCCTCCTGGCTTGTGTATGGCACCCTGAGAGACCAGGGCTCTACCAGAGGTGATCTGAGCCTGCAGTTTCCACTTCCCAGGTGAATACCCCAACCACCATGATCTGGGGTATTCTGGGCTGTGATGCTCTCAGCCTGTGTTGCTGATACTGTTTCATGTTGTACCATACAGAATTATAGAAAATTAGGGTTGGAAGGGAGGAGGTCTCTAGTCTGAACCTCTGCTCAAAGCAGGACCAGCGCCAACTAGATCATCCCAGTCAGAGCTTGGTCAAGTCGAGCCTTAAAAACCTCCAAGGATGGAGGTTCCACCACCCCTCTAGGTAACGTGTTCTGGTGCTTCACCACCATCCTAGTGAGAAAGTTTTTCCTAATATCCAACCTAAACTTCCCTTGCTGCCATCACTGAAAACAGTCTAGCTCTATACTCTTGGGAACCACCCTTCAGGTAGTTAAAATCTGCTATCAAATCCCACTTCAGTCTTCTCTTCTGCAAGCTAAGTATGTCCAGTTCCCTCAACCTCTCCTCATAAATCAAGTGCCCCAGCCCCCTCACCATTTTTGTTTCCCTCCACTGGACTCTTTCCAACTTGTCCACATCCTTTGTGTAGTGGGGATGCCAAAACTGGACACAGAACTCCAGATCTGGCCTCACTAGTGTAAAATAGAAGGGAATAATTACTTTCCTTGATCTGCTGGCAACACATCTACTAATGCAGCCCAGTATGCCATTAGCCTTCTTGGCAACAAGGGCGCTATTGACTCATATCCAGCTTCTTGTCTACTGTAACCCCCAGGTCCTTTTCCACAAAGCTGTGGTGTAGCCACTTGGTTGCAAACCTGTACTGGTGCCTGGGATTCTTCTGTCCTAAGTGCAGGACTTTGCACTTCTCCTTGTTGAACCTCATGAGGTTCCTTTTGGCTCAATTCTCCAATTTGTCTAGGTCACTCTGAATCCTAGCCCTGCCCTACAGCATATCTACTACTTCCCCCAGCTTGGTGTCATCTGCAAACTTGCTAAGGATGCATTCCATCCTTTCTTCCATATCGTTAATGAAGGTATTGAACAAAATCAGCCCCAGGACTGACCCCTGGGGCACACTACTTGATATTGGCTGCCAACTAGACCTTGAGTCACTGATCACTACCCACTGAGCCCAACAATCCAGCCAGCTTTCTATCCACCTTACCATTCATCCAGTCTTTCCTGCCCAAGTGAAGGGGGGCTGAACCCGATGATCTGTAAGGTCCATTTCAGCCCTTATCAATTATGGAACTATGAAATCCATACTTCCTTAGCTTGCTTGCAAGAATGCTGTGGGAGATCATATCAAAAGCTTTGCTAAAGTCAAGGTATATCACATCCAGTGCTTTCCCCATATCCACAGAGCCAGTCATCTCTTCATAGAAGGGTATCAGGTTCATCAGGCATAACTTGCCCTTGGTGAATCCATGCTGACTGTTCCTGATCACTTTCTTTTCCTCCAAGTGCTTAGAAATGAATTCCTTCAGTACTTGTTCCATGATTTTTCCGAGGACTGAGGTGAGGTTGACTTGTCTGTAGTTCCCTGGGTCTTCTTTTTTCCCTTTCTTAAAGATGGGCAGTATATTTATTCTTTTCCAATCATCCAGGACCTCCCCCCATGAGTTTTCAAAGACAATGGCCAGCAACTCTGCAATCACAGCAGCCAACTCCCTCAGCACCCTTGGATACATTGCATCTGACCCCATGGACTTGTACACATCTGACTTTTCTAAATAGTCCAATACCTATTCTTTCACCACTGTTGGCTGCTCACTTCCTCCTCAAACTGTGCTGCCCAGTGCAGTAGTCGGGGAGCTGACCTTGCCCGTGAAGACTGAGGTAAAAAGGCATTGAGTATTTCAGCCTTTTCCTCCTCATCTGTTACTAGGTTGCCTCCCTCATTCACTAAAGGGACCCACACTTTCCCTGACCTTCCCTCTTGTTGCAAACATACTTGTAGAAACCCTTGTTAGCCTTCATGTCCCTTGCTAGCTGCAACGCTAACTGTACTTTGGCTTTCCTGGGCTCCTCTACCCTTCCAGGGAGGCTGCTCCGAAACACTGTAATTACAATGTGTTGGAGCCAACTCCAGTGTCACGTGCATCAGCATCCCTGCACTGAAAAATGGTGGTGAGGCGCTTTAAGCTAAGACTTGTTTAACGAGCTTTAGCTCAAAGTGCCCTGCCGCCATTTTTCAGCATGGGGACACTGATATATGTGACGCTCCAGGACCTTTAATTAGTGTGGCTCTTGGAGCTGCACTAATTAAAGCGCTCTCCTTCCCACCTCCCAGAGCACATCTATAAATGCCCTCTGATTTCATCCCTGCATGCTGGAGCAATATTCTAGAAGCATAGAAAATTAGGGTTGGAAGGGACCTCAGGAGATCATCTAGTCCAACCTCCTGCTCAAAGTAGGACCAGCCCCAACTAGATTGTCCCAGCCAAAGCTTTGTCTAGCCGGGTCTTAAAAACCTCCAAAGATGGAGATTCCACCACCTCTCTGGGTAACCCATCCCAGTGTTTTACTACCCTCCTAGTGAGCAAATTCTTCCTAATGTCTAACCTAAACTTATTCTCATACTCCTCCCTAGTCATCTGTCCAAGCTTCCACTTGTCAGCTTCCTTTTTGTGTTTAAGCTCATCAAAGAGTTCTCTAAGTCAAGCTGGTTGCCTGCCATATTTGCTATTCTTCTTACATACCAGGATGGTTTGTTCCTGCGCCCTCAATAAGGTTTCTTAAAATACCACCAGCTCTCCTGGACTCCTCTCCCCCTTAGACTGGCCTCCCAGGGGATCCTGTCCATCAGCTCCCTGAGGGAGTCAAAGTCTGCTTTTCTGAAGTCCAGGGTCCTTAGTCTGTTGCTCTCCCTTCTTCCTTTTGTCAAGATCCTCACCTCAACCATCTTGTGGTCACTGCTTCCCAAGTTGCCATCCACTTCTATATCTCTGACCAAATCTTCCCTGTTTGTGAGCAGCAGGTCAAGAAGAACATGGCCCCTAGTTGGTCTTTTCAATGCTTGCACCAGGAAGTTGTCTCCAACACTCTCCAAAAACTTCCTGGACTTCCTGTGCACTGCTGTATTGTCCTCCCAGGCAATGTCAGGGTGACTGCCCATGAGAACTAGGACCTGTGATCTCGAAACTTCCACTAGTTGTCTGAGGAAAGCCTCATCTACCTCATCCTCCTGGTCTGGTGGTCCATAGCAGATGCCTACCACAACATCACCCTTGTTGCTCTCCCCTCTGACCCTAACGAGGAGACTTTCAACAAGCCTATTTCCAGTTTCATACCAGAGCTCTGAGCAATCATATAGTTCTTTTATGTAAAGCGCAACTCCTCTCCTCCCCTGCCTGTCCTTCCTGAAAAGTTTGAACCCATCCGTGACAGTGCTCCCGTCATGCGAGCTCCCACCAAGTCTCTGTTATTCCAATAATGTCATAGCTCCATGACTATGCAAGGACTTCCAGTTTTTCCTGATGGTTTCCCAGGCTCCATGCAATTGTGTACAGGCACTTGAGGTAACTAGCCAATTGCCTTTCTCAGTAAGAATGAGACCTCTGCTGTTGCTCCCTCCCCCTTTTGCTTCCTCCAGGTGTCCTGCTTCCCCACTTACCTCAGGGCTTTGGTCTCCATCCCCTGGCAAAGCTAGTTTAAAACCCTCCTCACTAGGTTAGTGAGCCTGTCTCTGAAGATACTCTTCCCT